GAAGCCAAGGACGCCAGGGGGGCTGGTGTAAAAAGAAAGAGAACGTAAGGCTTGGGGACAGCCAGTGAAATTCCCAGCGTTTTGTGTGAGGAAGAGCACAGAAGCCTTTGTCACTGGATTGCAGAGTATGGGGAGCGCGGTTAGGTGTAAAAAGATGGAAAGGGTCCTGGGACTATGCTAGAGTAAAATAAATAGCTGAGTGAGAATACTGTTCAAGCCACCTGGTCTCATCTCTTCTAATTGTGTTTACTTGCTAATTAATGATTTCCATGGAAAGCCCAGCACCCCTTCTTAGGAGCCACTACAGTGTAATAATAATGATAATAACATTCATATAGCTCTTAAAATGTGTCAGGTGCTGTGCTAAGTACTCTGCAAGTAGTATTCATTTGATCCTTAGAATAGTCCTGGGAGGTGGGTGCTGTTATTATCCCCATTTTACAGATGATTTGCTCAGTCACACAGCTGGTAAGTGTCTGAGGCTAGATTTGAACTTCCTGACTGTCACCAAGACCAGCACTGTATCCGCTGCACCACCTAGCGGCTGAACTATGTTGTGTTTTGGGGTCTTTTTATTAAACTGAAAAAGCTAATGCAGTCTCAGGTGATATTAATAGAAAGAGTATCTAAAAGGTAGTCCTTTTGAACTCTACTAGTTAGACTCCAGTAAGACTACTATGTCCAGTTCTGGGTGTACTCTTTACTTCTTCCAGATTACCTTTTACTTATGTATATTTGCATTTCCTATGAACTATTTCACATTTTCTATTTTTTTCCCCAGTCTTTTACTTTGTTTTATTATTTCTTGATGTTTCGTGAAGTCATTAGCTTCCATCTGGCCGATTCTAATTTTTAAGGAGTATTTTTCTTCAGTGAGCTTTGTAATTCTTCAGTATATGTATTTTTTTGGTACCTCTTTTACCAGTTGACTGATGTTTATTTTAAGGACATATTTTGTTTGTTAAGGAGATAGACTTGTTTATTTAAGTAGTATTTTTGGTACCTTTTTTACCAGGCTGTTTTCATAATTTTCTTGTGTTACTCTCATTTCTTTTCCCAGTTTGTCTGCTACCTTTCTTATTTAATTCTTAAAATAGTTTTTTACTCTTTAAAAAAAAATAAAAGCTTTCTTTAGCTTTTTCTGGGATTTGTTGGGCTTGTGTCCAATTCTCATTTTTCTTTGAGGGTTTACTTATAAATGCTTTCAAGTCATTGTCTTCTGTGTTTGTGTCTTGAGCTTCCCCGTCACCATAGTAGCTTTTTATGGTGGTGGTTTTTTTGGTTGGGTTTTTTCCTCTCTAGCGTGTTTCCAGTCTTCTCGGCGTTGGCCTTATTGTCAGCGTTGGGCTTCACACACCCCTTGGGGGAGATAGGGGGAGAGGAGGGAAGGGTGTGTGTCTGCTGGAGGCCTATAAGTCTTTAGTGCTTCCGAGTGTTGTGACGCAGTGAGACGTCTGTCCACGGCCCTTCCCGGGCTCAGTCACTTCTAGCCTTCTGGGAGGCTCTGCATGTTCCCCGTGACTGGACCGCTCGCTCCCCCTGGCTATTCCACTGCCGGCTTCTGTGCTGGGCAGGGCTGGACGGAGGGCTCCTCCTCCTGTTCCTGGGCTCGGAGCTGCACAGCTGTGGTTCTGCGGGCCCTCCTTTCTGGAGACCTTGCTGCTTCTCTCTGTTCTGGCCCTGGGGAGCGGGAGACAGAGCTGCCAGGTGGCACCTGTTTTCGCTCCCAGTGCTGGCGCAGGGGTCGCCGCGCACCTCTCTCTGCCCCGGGGCACTGGGCTGCTGCCCGTTGCCCGTCTGCTTGTCATGGCGCCTTGGATGTCGCTGCTGCGGTGTGCTCCTGAGCTTCCCTGCGTTGGGAAAACGGCTCATTGTGACTTTTTCTTGGTTTTTCCTCAGAATTTAGTCTGGTGCTCTTCATTGGTCATTGTGGAGAAGAGGGGGATGGCGCGGAGGCTCCGCCTTCTGGATTCTGCCCCCTGTGTTTTCATTTCCATTCAGTTATTCTCTTGTTTCTTTGATGAGATTTACCACAGTGGATTCAGGTTTTACCACTCCAGTAGTTTCTGTTGCTGAGGCCGTACATTCAGCTTTCCCAATTCTTATTTCTCTTTTAAACCGCTCAGAAATGTCCCGCTGTGGTTCCACGTTCTCTTGGGAATCCACATGTACCTCTTTGTCTTGCAAGATTTGTTCATTCATATCTGGGCTCTTGTAGTTGATGTGGAAGCCACGTTCCCTTCTGTTCTTTAGATACTTACACTCAAGATCTTAAGAGTTTTCTTCCTCCAGAGATCCTTGGCAATTTCATTTTTTTTTTTTATGTGAGGCAGTTGGGGTTCAGTGACTTGCCCAGAGTCACACAGCTGTGAGTGTTATGTGTCTAAGGCGAGATTTGAACTCGGGTCCTCCTGACTCCAGAGCCACTGCTCCGCCTAGCTGCCCCACAGCCTTTTTTCCTTGTTTTCCCGTCTTGCTCACTTTCTGTCTCCTCATTTGATTGTGGTTTTCTTGGGGGCTGCAGTTCAGCTGTCTCAAGCTCTTGCCATGCTGGGCACCACACGTCTTGGCCTCGGTCTTTGTCCCTGGAGACTTCTCATTGGACACAACTGAACTCAGCTGGGTGTCAGTCCTTTGTCTTTCAGGCTTAATGGAGGGCCGAGCAGACATACATACATCCTTCTCCAGTTCGCTGTTTCTTGGTTCTCTGGCTGAGGTTGGTTGCATCACAGAGCACTCCCATGCTGTTGTGTTAGCCAGGATAAGCTTCTGCCTTTGGGGTTGTTGCTGGAAGAGGGAGGAGTAGAATTGAGTTCTGTTGCAAGCCTGTGGACAGGTTTACATAATTCTGTTGCCGGGGCCTGGTGGGCAGTGAAGGAGATGTGAGATGTAAGAGATCAGCCTTTTCTGTTCGGTAGTTGGCTTTTCACCCTGTTTTGGATTCTTGACCTCCTGGCGTCAGATTCAAATAGAAGTGGGTCCCTGTAGTGGCATACTGACTTAGAAAACCACAAATTAACGTTATCTGTGTGATATTGTATTTGTATTTATTTTGTTAAACATTTCCCAGTTAACAGTTTAATCTGATTCTAAGTATGAGCGAGTTTTGAGGGCCTTGAGTTTGAGCCTGTGGACACAACTGAAAGTGCTTTCTCTCATGCATAATTCCCATTTGGGAGAGGCTTGAGGGGTGAGAGAATAGGGAAGGAACAGTGTCTGGTCTTCCATCTTATTGGTCACTTGACCTGGCAGTTTGAGTGCATTATTTATGTGGAACACGGGTAAAACTTATACTTGTCCAGAGGCAAGAGTGATCTGAAACCGTGCTGAAGACATCCAACCCAGTAAACATTTATTAAGTGCTTACTGTGTGCTCAGCACTGTGCTAAGTGCTAGGGGAACAATGAATAAAAAGACAGTTCCTGTCTTCCAGGAGTCTCCTATCTATAGTGGGGAGACAGCCCACAGAAGGAGGTGGGAGAGTAGTTGGGGGAAGGAGGACCACACCAGGTGGTACCCACTGGGGGGGGGAGGAACGACGACAGCTTGTTTTCTGCAGTTAAAACCTAGCAGGGCAGAAGATGCAAAGTAGAGTGAGTTGCTGAAAGTTCCGTTTCTGCCCACTGGGACCGAGTTTGCTCCTCCGGCCCTCCAGTCAGATGAGGGAAGAGTCTGGAGGAGGTGGGGTCAGTAAGGCTTGGTGGGGAGATTAGAGGAGGGAGTTTATCCTGGGAGGGACCCAGGCAGGGTCGCAGATGCCAAGTGGAGTGAGGAGCCATACTGCTGACAAGACTGGAGATACTTGGCTGGGAAAAGAGAACATGAAAGAATGGGGTAGCTATTTTCACATGTTTTAAAGGTTTTCATGTGAAAGGGCAGAAGTAGAGCTAACCGATTAAAAAGCATTTGTTTAGCACCTATGATGTGCTGGGCCCTGGGGGGCTGAAAGTACACTGAGCTTGTCAGCAGGACCTGGGTTCAAATATTGCCTCTAATACCTAGTAGTTGTATGGCAAGTCACTTAACCTGTCTGTGGCTCAGTTTCCTTATCTTCAAAAAATAGGACAAGAGTTGACTTGATGGATTCTAAAATCTCTTCCAGCTCTAAATCTCTAATGCCATGACACAAAGACTCAGGTTCTTGTAGGAGACATGGCATGTCTAAAGCAAATGCTGGCTAGAGGAAGGAAGAAAGGGAGGGATGGAGGAGGAGGAGGAGGGAAGAGTGCTCACTCTGTGCTAAGCCCTGGGGGTACGAAAACTGAAAGAAACAGCCCTTGCCCTGGAGCCATTTACTGCCACTGTAAAGGTGGCATTTGGGGAATTCTGGAGAGAGGGAGAGGTTTGGAACGGTAGTTGTGGGGAGTGAGCTCCTCAGTGACCCAGCTGAGGTTCTCTTTCCTGACCTACTGTGAATGCAGCTCAGCTCCTCCCCTCCCCTCCCTTTCAGTTCTAGGAGGCACCTAATATCAGAGGCATCTTAAGTGTTTCGTGCAAAGCAGATAGATGTTAAAAACACCTCCAGGGAATTGCGGGATGCTTGCTTCTCTCCTCCCTCCCCAATTCTGTTCTTTCTCCCTCTTTCTTTCTTTCCCCCTGGTATTCCGCAGTTGCTCAGAAGAGCTCAGAAGAGACTCCAGCTGCGTCTGAAGTCTGGGATAAGGAAAGATGGAGCCAGTTCCTGTTGATTCCAGGCATCCTCAGCTTGTTCGAAGGCAGAGATAGGCTTGTCTGTGTCACCTGATTCTTTTCCTTGTGGGGTCTGAGCACTCACTGAGAAGTGTCTGCCAGTCTTTGCCCACCTTGGAACCGCAGGAGACCGTGTTCTAGGTGTGGGGCAGTGGTCTTTGGAAGGCAGTGCTCTGGCTGGAGACCCTTGTGGAGGCAAGGGCAGTGGGCTTTCTGTTAGAGAGCAATGTGAAAGCTGGCTGGGCCTGTTGCCTGGCCCTCTTCTTGGAAATATTTTGAAAGGCAGTGTTTTCCCTTCTCTTTCTGCACAGCGAGGAGCAGCTGCAGGTCGTCATGTCTGGAATCAAACGAACCCTCAAAGAAAATGACCCCGACTACGAGGACATTTCTGTGGCGCCCCCCAACAAAAGGCATCGAGCCATGGAGGATTCAGGTAGAGCTCTTGGGGTCACTGGAACTTCTACAAGTAGAACGAATGCCAGCTTTCATCCTCATCGCACTAGACGTGGGTTTGGGGAAAACTGACACAGATACTTCACTAGGAGGAACCGGCCAAGGCATGCTTCACTGTAGGCTGAAGGCTTCAAGCTGGATGGAATCTTAGCGGTCTGTCCAGTCCCTTCGTTTTACAGGGGAGGAAACTGAGGCTGAGAGCTTAAGTGGCAGTCAAGTGATGTGGAAAGGCGGGATGCAGGTGTGGGAAATTGTGCCAGGAATGGAATCCGCCAGGCCAGTGGAAATGTTAGCATCAAGGCAGGCATTCTGTGGCTTCCGGGTAGCTGTAATCCTAAAATCTTAATTGAAATGTACCTTAGCTAGCAATATGCAGTCCCTTCCCTGACTTTTACAGAGGGAGGATGCTGAGACCCAGAAAGATTAACTTGTTCGAGGTTACCCAGATGATTGAGAACAGCTGACTTAGAGTAATGATCTCAACTAGAGTTTTGCATCATCCCAGTTTGCATAATATCTGAATTGATATTGCAAAATTTGCTTCCCCAGATCACAAAATAATCTTAATTTAATTTAAAAATAGATGTCATAGAGTACTTTTAGAAGAAGGGAGAGAAAGGATTGTAAAATCCAACAGATATTAGTCATTGAACTGGCAGAATTTAGGTACTCAAAACACTGTCCTCTAAATCGAGGTGAAAACAAAACAGTCCGAGTTGCATTTTAGAAAGAAAATTCTGGCTGAAAGGAAAGTCTGTCCAAGGATGGTAGTCTGCCCACCACCACCCTGAACTGTTGGTCTTCACCTGTCCGTTCAGGTGCGCTTCCCTTCTTGCCATCTCACCTTTTCTTGAGTGAGGGCTCAGAGATGTCTGCTGCAGAGCCATCCTCTTGGTGCTTTCAGAGTTGGATGCCGGGATCTTTGAGAAAGCCGAGTCGTTTCACTATGTGTTGTTCTGGTTTTGTTCTGTGGACAGCTCGAGATGCCGCTGTGCAGAAGATCGAAACAATTATTAAGGAGCAGTTTGCTGTCGAAATGAAGAACAAGGAGCATGAAATTGAGGTCATAGACCAGGTATCAAACACGCTCACTTCTCCTTGGGGCGGAGTGGAAAGTTCAGTGTTGTTTGTTGCTCTTTTTAAAGAAATAAACATTTTAAATTTACTTTTAGCGACTGATTGAGGCCCGGAGAATGATGGATAAACTTCGAGCTTGCATAGTGGCAAACTACTACGCTTCTGCCGGTCTTTTCAAAGCTTCAGAGGTAAACTCCCGCCCCCACCCCACCTCGAGAACCTTTGAGTCTTGCCGTCCGGTGTTTCTTGGATTGGGTGGTCATTTTTGGCTTTAAAGTTGGGACCTTTTGGTCTCCTAAGTGGAGCTGTGGCTTACTCCATCCGTCAGCAAGGGTCGATTCAGCCCTCACTGTATGGCGGGCCATGGGCTGAGTGCTGGGGAGAGAGCCGGGAAGAGCTTCACTCAGCCTTCATCCATTCCTTCATTCAACCACCTGTTATGTGCGTCATCTGTGTAAACAGTCCTGCTCGGTATGGAGATGCCAAGTTAAGAACAGCCCTCTCTGAGAAGAAGGTTATCTAATGGGGCCTCTTTTCTCATGAATCTTTCTTCTGACTTTGTGTGGTGAGTGCACTCAGACTTCATCCTGGTGTAGATCCCATCCTTTATAGAAGGGAGACATATAAGCTCCTCACCTCTCGTCTCCTCTGGGTTGGGCCTCTCTTGTTCATTTCCCTCCCAGGAGACATTAGTGAGATGTAGGAACAGTTGGCATCTGAAACAAGTGTTTGCTTGATGAACTCAGACTCCTAGGAATGACGCTTTTGGTTCTGACAGCTTGGCATTGTTTGCAAGACTTAGGTGTGTTTTTGACAAAGAAGTGATAGAACAAGAATCTCTGGCTCCCACTTAGAGTTCTGGAGACTTTTATGTTGTGAAATAGTAACTCTCCTCTCCTTTTCTTCTTTTTTTTTTAAACACTATGGAGATTTTATTTTTATGTGTTTGTTGCCAAGGAAACAGGATTCCGCTGAAAGAGAAGTATTCCTTCTAGATTGTCATTTTGATTATCTAAATGTCCTCATGTTTGTGTTGAGGAAAACCAGCTTTAATTCAGTTAAGATAAGCATGAATGTGCCTGCCTCCCCCCACTGCTACTACAAGAGTGGCCTGGGGGATGAGGGAAAGGTTGTGGTGAGGGTGAGCGTTGACCAGGTGAACTCCAGGCCTGTGCCATTCAGTATGACCTTGAGGTACAGGGGAGGATGCCACCCCGGTGCTGCCTTGGAGAAAATGATGTTTGAAAAATCCAGCCAGTTTCGTGTGCATTGAGAATATAATTTGATGCTCAGATGGCTGGGAACGATGCCTCACTTTCTGGCTTAAAGTCCTTAGCTCCAGCTGACAGCACGAAGAACCGGCCAATAGTTAGAAATTTGTACACAAAGATTTTAATGTATCTGTGGAACTCATGGTTGCAAGGACATGTTCTCTTATTCATATTCCCAATTCTTTCTGTTTAGTGCTGTCAGACTTTATGGAAGTGGGTTAAAATTGTTCTTGTGTACTTTGTTCCAGTGTTGCTGTTCCTTAGAAGATGTTCAAATGTACTTAATTTCTTGGATCTAGTTAAAAGGATGTGGGGGTTTTTGTTTCTTTGCTTTTTTGTTTTGCTTTTGCAGGGATCAAAGACCTGTGACACCATGGTTTTTAATCATCCCGCTATCAAGAAATTTTTGGAATCTCCATCAAGGTCATCATCTCCTGCTAATCAGAGATCAGAGGCACCATCTCTTAACTATTCAGAAAGTGATTCTTTATCTCAGCACAATGACTTCTTATCTGACAAAGACAATAGCAGCAACCTGGACCTGGAGGAGAGATTGTCCAACAGTATGGAGCCTCTGAGGCCTGGCAGAAATACCGGGCGGGTAAGGTTAAGACCTAAGGGTGGGTTGGGGGACAAAAGAGTAGGGCAATAACAGATGAGCTTGGCGGTCCTTTCCATGTCCCAGATTTCTAGGAATCAAATGATGCAAGATGTTGTTTCTTTTAATAGATTTGGGCGTTCTAGCTGCTTAGAAGTACACAGAGTCCTAGGTCTAAAGAAGGAAAGACCCAAGCCCCGTGATGCTCCTTGCTGTAGGCCGGGTGTGTGGGGCCGGGATGAGTGGCCACTGTGTCCGGTGCTCTGGCCCAGGCTGAGGCGCCGCCCTGTGGGCGTGATGGAGGCTGCCGCTGCCTGAAACCTTGCACTTGTGCTGACTTCAGCCTGCACTCAAGGAAATCCTGTCAGTGATTCGTGGGGGCTGATTTTCCAAAAGCAATTGAAACAGGCCCTTTTCTGTCATTATGTCTTGCCCTGTATGGGATAGCTTGCAAAGTGCTTCTGTGTAAATGATCCCAACAGATCCTCACGGTCAGCTTGGGAGGTCCGGAGGGCAAAGTATTATTTCCATTTTCTAAATGACAAAATTGAACTTGGTGACTTCCCAAGATCACACAGCTCATAAAGGGTAATGATGAGATGGGAACCAGGCCTCTTGACTCCAATGTTCTTCCTGTTGTACCACTTGCCTCTCTGTATAGTTTATTTTAAAAACAGATTCATAATTGTTGCCAGTTGCAGGCTATGATTTCTACACTCTTGATCAGAAGTTCATAATCTGAAATCCACAGACCCAAAAGGGATCCATGGATAGATTTTAGGGGTCTGTGGACTTGGATGGGAAAAAAAAATTGCATCTTTTCACCAAGCTCTAACTTCGGTTTTTTGGGGGGAAACATTCTGAGAAAGGGTTCCTAGATTTTACCTGACTTCCAGTGGGGTTCTGTGATGCACAGAAAGGTTAAGAACCCACGATGGAAATTGAAATATTGTCAGTTCTCTCGTTTGAGGAGTAACATTTATGAAAGTAGGTTTCAGATTTTCATGTGTCTTAATGAAGATTTCTTTTAAAGAGTTACATAGTCAGATGATATTAGAGGATCAAATAATCTTGATTATCTGGAACATTTGGCCGATGGGAAAGATCTCCTTAATAGCAGGATAATGAGAGCAAGCAAATAGTTTAATTTCACAGGAAGGAAACTATTTTATCAAACCCAAATATTTCAGTCATACCATTGAGTCTCAAGTGTATTATTTGATGCTCATTCATTTTAATATGCTCTTCAATTCAGCTACTGAGCATTTTTTCAGATACAAGGCACTGTGCTAGGCCCACTGCATGCAGAGATTGATGGGACCTGGAGACCTAACAATTGCTGCTTTAAAAAATTATTTTTTGGGGAAAAAAAAAAAGGTTGCCTTCTATTCCAATTAGCAGGAGAGTGTTTGCCCCCATACCGCTTTCTAGCTTAGAGAGCAAGATTTTTGGAATGCGCTCTACAGAGGTGCTTCTCCTACGCTCCTGGCCTTCCTGATGGTGGTGGACATCACCTAGTAGCTGTTGTTGTGGATTCTTTCAGGACCCCAGTGGTGGAGCTGGCTCCCGGAAAACAAACCAGCAGAATTCTGATCTCACTTCAGAAGAGGTTTCAAGACTTTTTGTGAAGAAAACCATAGTGGTTGGCAATGTATCGAAGTGAGTATGCAGCTGGGCCCAGAAGCTTTTGTCTCCACCCCATTTTTAGTCTTTGGTTTATACTTACTGAGGCTGGAGTAGAAGTAATGTAATCTGGGTCGTAGAAGGATAGAGCTGGAGAAGCTTTTGTGACAATTGAAGCGGAGACTGAACTATGGAGGGTGATTTAGTCAAGCCTCCCAACTAGACCCTGGTCTCCTGACTCCCAGGTGACAGGCCTTCAAGGCATGCATAACATTTAGCTGTATGCTGAAAGCATTTCTGCATAAGCAACAAAAAGCAAAGGGCATAACAAAGGTTCTCTCCTGTCTGTGAGTGGCCAGTTGGCCTGGGTAGCCAGAGGTCCCTCAACAGTTTAAATATAGGATTAGGAACATCTGCTTATTTTCCCATAGACTGTGTCTCCCCATTTTACCAACCCAACACATTTCAGAGATAATGAGAAATAGAAAGACGGTCTCTCCCACTTTAGTAGGAAGAGTGATGTGCTTGGGCTCAGGAGAAGCGAGTTAGAATTCTGGTGCTGATACTGAATGATCATAGGAAAGTCAGTCAAATCCCTCTGAACCTCTTTCCTCATCTATAAAAGGGGAGCAAGGGTTCTTACATTAGCCGGCTCTCAATAAAATGCTTTCTGAAAATGCTTGAGTACTCCATAAATGGAGCATGATGCCAGTGATGATCAAGAAGTGGGTACTGTTGCGGGCTGAGAGGTTGAGAGGTTGTGACCCCTCAAAGACCAGAGTACAGGACAGGTCTTCTGGAATGAATTCACAGACTCAAGCATTCTTTGATTCAAGGTGGCAAAGATTTATTGTTACGCTTTTCAGTGGGCAAGGATTCTTAAAGGATCCTGCAACCTTAGAGAGGTACAGGTAAAGTTTATATAGGATAAAATGCAATAAAACATGTGTCAAATATGCTAACTAGGTGATTCAGGGCAGGATTAGGGAGTGGTTAAGCGGTCAGTTCTCAGTTGAAACTCAAGATAAGAAAAGTCCCATTATTCAAGAGAGTATCTGGTCCCAGACATCCTGGGCCCAGTGATAGCAAACAGGAAGAATACTGATCAGCTCTATCTGGTCCTGGAATTTGCTAACACAGGAATTAGCTCACTCAGAGAGAAAAAGATTAATTTAGTTTTTTGGCCCTTAGTGGGGCTCAATTGGTCTTAAGTGATTATCAAGGGACAGTGTTTCTGAGGCTAGGGAGAAACTGGGGCCCAAGTACAAGCACCCAAACACAAGCACCCTGTCATTCCCCCCCTTAAACAGATGGGACCCAAAATCTTTTGGGGTTAGGGACGAAGGTCTCAGCTTCTGAAACTACTTCCTGCTGGGATTGGGTGTAGAGCTGTCCCTGCCTCCTGGGGTCCCTCTGGTCAAGGAGTCGGTTTTCTAGCCAGTGTCTGGAACTTAGCTGATGCCAGGTCCAAGAGGTGGTGGGTTATGATCTGGGACAGATGTTGGTACCCAGCCTGAGCAGTCATCCAGAAGTGGAGGGCACTGAGCCTAGAGGAGACAGATCTGGCAAGGAGATTAAGCAGACAGTGCCAAAAAGAAGTAAAAGGAATATAATCAGGAGTGGGACAAGACTATCCCCAAGAAGAGGATGTACTGCTGTACTAAGGGTTGTTATGGATGTCTCACATCCAGGTGACTTTCTCTAGTCCTATTGAGCTCCACCTGTTGAGAGTTGTTAATATACATACAGCAGGAGGTGTTGGCCAGTGCACAGACGCCTCTAGTAAGCAAGTAGATAATCCAAAGCTATCTGATTATCCAGGACCACATTTGCCAGGGAATCCAGAGAATGTCCCAGAGACCATAAGCTGTGTCATTTGCCAATTGGTGAATGGTCCCTGTCAGTTTTGAAAGAATGAACTCATGTTGTAAACGTCCATACCAAGGCATGAGATACTCTGCTCCCTTTTAAGGTACCAGAGAACATTGTCCCAGAACCCATGCTTCACTCTTGTTTAGAGTGGAGGTACTGGGTATAATAATATTGAAAATGGTAAAAGGTGGTACCAAAAATCCAAGGGAGCACACACCAAAATCCTTACAAGGTGTTGAAAACCAGGTGGCCATAACAACAGTCCTGGGGTGCCAAGTAGTGATGTTTTGCTTTACTTATTCCCCAGAATCCTCACCACCTGGCCCACCCATCCCACAAAGGAAGGAGTATCCCTTAGGGGTACAGATGGGACCTGTTTATAAAAGATACTGAGCATGGATGCCCCCATGGATCAGTATGATTACATGCCAATATTACAGGTAAGAGAGAAACTTTCAAAAGATCAATAAGAGTGTTACAGCTAGAAGGGGGCAGTAACATTGTGTGTCAACTAGGAAGAGAAGGTTAAATAAGAAATACCTACTAGGAGAGTGGCTGGAAGAATTTGGTCATAGGTGCAAGTAGGGAGTGTTCCCTCAGAACAGGTGGTACGGCTGGCAGAGGTAAAGTTCTGGGGACACATGCAGGCATCATTACAGGTGGTGCAAGTCAAGAGACCAGCAGAGACATTTACAATCCCTCCCCTGGCAAGGGTCTTTACCTGTATAGTGGCCATAGAACTTGTCTCCCAAGCAAGGGAATAATTCCCTGTTGAGAAACAGGATGTTGAGATAGAAAAATTTTCCCATAAAGGAGTGGCCAGTACAAAAGGGGTGGCAAAGACCTCTGAGGTGGTTACATTGGGGGGGGGGCTCTTGCAAAAACTGCCTTAAACAAAAGAGGTTCCTAACTTTAACCTCACAACTGAATAGATACACAATCTTGTTCCGCAAGCTTGTTTATCCTTCTCTAATTACACACCAGAAATTGAATCTTTTACATATGATAAATTCAAACACTAATTTTACTTAGGCCATGGGATGACTACAAATTCAGATCAAAACAGCAAGATCTCACATACTTATATTGTGCTGATGTCTGACCACTTGCTCTGATCAGAGAAATCTACCATAAAAGGAAAAGGCAGGGACATGTGACATCCAAATATGACAGGACAGAATATCCTTAGTTCTGTTTGAATTCAGATAACAGTCACAGTTCTCCAATCATGCAGTATCAATTCCACATCATAGCCAGACTCAGGAATAGTCAGGTGGGAAACATTCCTTCTCAAAGGAACACAATGGGGAAACTGAGCCAGGAGGATCCCATCCTAGATTGAGGCTAAGATTGTCCTCACAGCTTTTTCCCAGATGCAGACATCCACCTGTTCTGAGTAACTTGTGGCATTTCTGATACTGATTTAATGCAGACAACTATATCCAAATTCAAACTCAAAACAAAATTAGTTATAGTCCCAAGAGCCTTTTACCTCAAACAGCAAGTTTCACTAATCACAGCTTAAAGCCAGATACAGTTAATTTTACTCCCATGGAGTTGCAATAAGCAATAAAGATTTACCAGGACTCACATACATAAGAGATTTCACTTAACATCTTTCTTTCTCAAATTAAACTTGTCCTGGTGTAAAGCCAATCATTAGAAATCATTTCTATCTACTGTACATAAACTTGCAACTTCTCAGCAAGTCAAGTTCATTGTTTAGGAACTCCAAACAAGTTCTCTTCTCAGAGCAGATGATCTTGCCCACACAGATTTTTTTTCCAGGGACCTTGGCAGGTTTACAAAATAAGGGGAATTGCCTTATACCCCAGGGAGGGGCTAATCCTGGTGCCCCTGCCTGCCGACTTCTTTATCCCAAAGAGGACTGTTTTGAATAGGCAGAACTGATCTGGATAAGGCTTTTACCCAATCCCCACCTTTTCACACAGTAATCAATTAACAATTCTAGGTTTTAACATTAAAACAGTAACTTCAAATAACTTAGTTAACAATCTTATAACTTTCATAAGTGATAGTCAAATTGTTTTAGCTATAAGCCCTTCTTTAATTACAGGTAAAGGTGGAAGTACCTAGTTTACTAAATGACAGTTATAAAACATTATAGGACAGGGTTAGCAGGGCTGACAAAATATAACTGGTTTTGCAGTTTTCCCACTGTAGTTTCTCTAAGTTCACACTTTAATAACATCCAAATTATGAAAAACTGCTTGACAAAACAATACAAAAGTTTACCAATCTGATGACTCCAATTCTGTTGAATGCATTTCCAAATTTCCTTACAAAGAAAATCAGGCATCTCTTCACCATTGACATTGCATACTGGTCACATCTAATTAAGGAACTAATAACAGTAGTTAACATTTATAGACCAGGCATTGTGTTAGGCACCTTCCAATCATGTGAGATAAACTGAGGTAACTTGCTTAATGTCACCCAGTTAGCAAATTTCAGATCCATACATTTTCCCAATTTACTTTACTTCCAAACAGTATAATAAATTCTGACTTAAGCATTAAATTAAGAGCATCACATTTCATTTGAAATATTACCAGAATGAATTAAATTACCTTTTGGTTGTGTTCTGGTACACAAAAACTTTTTTATGAGAGGCAGAAAAGATTGGGAAAAGATTCACCTCTTCTTTCCTCACCTTTCTCTCTTCCACATTTAACAACTTGGCCAAGGTTGGAATGTAAAGAGAGAGAGGGAGAAAGAATTTTTTTTTAACAATTCTCCAAAAGTTTCAAAACCTTTTTACTCTCAAACCTCTATTCACACTGTGTAAATAAATTATACCTTCCTTAAGCTTTCTACACATACTCCTCTCTCCTACATGCTTAAACTTCTCTTGCCTTCCTACTAATTATCCCTCTGATGGACTTTGATTAAAGTCCCTCTAAAACTGCACATATCTAACATCTAATTCTTCGATGATCCTCCTCATCTTGCTTTTTACTAATCATGTAACCTAAATAATAAAGTATTTTTCTCTCTTTCTCATCCACCCACTCCTCTGAAGCTGCTGTTATCAGGGAGAGAGAGAAAGAAGAAAAAAACGGCATTCCAGAGTCCAGCTACAGCCCTGGCTGCAAAGGGTTTCTCAGATTACACACGGACACACACCACACAGACAACAGAAA